TCACAATCTGAATGAGCTCAAACACAAGAACTCAAGATTTTGCTARAAACACAAATGAAAACTAGTAGTTAAAAAAAGATAAACCAATCAGCACAAATGATAAAGTAAATGAACATTTAAAAGAAACTCTTATGATTTAAACAACTTCAAGAATTATCTTTTAACAAAACATCTTTTAATAGTAGATTCCACAGGACAGGCTTTTAAATATTTCAGCATCCCATAAAAACATGATAAATGTCCAGTGCTGTTGCTGAATTATTGTTTGCCATGCATTAAACAGAAAAATGTTTCCTTTGCAAATGCTGCAACTTGTGTTTGACACCACGATAATCTATTATTAGTCATCAAAAAAATTGCTTTGGATTTCCCAGCAGTATYACCTCTGTCTGCCTAGTGGTTCTATTTTATACCTATCAAATTTAAGTGTAAAAACATGCTTTTGGTATTCTCGGGCAGAAAAGGATGAGGAAGAAAAGGTCTGAAGTCACAGCTGGAGGGGCTGTGTTGCATGCAAGTGAGCGTACTTGCAAATTTGTGCGGGGTCCAAACACTGAGTCAACTCCAGTCTCATCATGGGATAAAACCACTAAGGCAGCTGCTGAGTTTCCTGAGGTATCTCCAGTGGTGTACTGAGAAGCCACGAGGAGAGCACATAAAGAACATCTATATTATGAATTACAAAGAGTAAATGCCATGGGAACTTCTGCTTCCCATATTTCCTAATAAATGAGCAGAGACACATTTGAATGAAAAGGCCACAAAAGCTTAAGAGGGATAAATTTTTTTTTGGTTTGTTTTAAATAGACTACATGAGCTGAACTGTGGAACTTGCTGCCTTATGACATTACTAGAGGAAATACAGCTGCCAGAAGTTCATACACTTTTGAATAACTCTATTAWAGGAACTATGAAAGTATTTGTGATGTTATGGTACTGAGAATAAATCTGTCTGTTCTACAAGATATGAATTTTCACAGTTCTGTAAAATAAGGCACTGAGAAAAACAGGAGTTTAACTCTACTGAAAATTTGATCTCATATTTTCGTTTTTCATAGGTAATTTCTGATTCTTTTGATATGAGTCACTCAAGAAATACTAGTAATGTTGACCTCAACCTATTTCTCTTTCCCAGGCAAGAACAATGGTGTATATCAGTTTTGAGGGAGCTACTACCTTCTCCTAATTCAGCATTTCTTGCCCTTCATTTTCTCAAGACACCACAGAAGACACAGCAAAAGAAGGAAACTGTAATAGGTGGCTGTGGGTTCTGCAGTATTATCCCAGTCACATTTATATGACATTAATGTCTCACAACTATCACAAATATTGAAATGAAACAAACCCACATGTTTATGCTTTTCAGCCTGAGCTGAAATAATGTGGATAATTTCCAGTTGAACACTTTAGGTAACTCAGAATTACTTGGAAAGTGCCAATCTGCTCCTTCCTTGTGATGAAGCAGTACCCCCTGGGCCTATAAACATCTCTTCATATCCTGCAGTCAATTCATATCCTGCAGTACATGGATCCTATCCTGGAAATTCATATCCCAATTCCTTTTCCAAGCCACTGCATTCTTTGTAATTGAAAACGAAGGAAGAAAATATGGAAGATCAATCAAATACACTSCTGCACTTCTGGGCATTACCTACCATATATTTTCATCTGTGCTAGTCTTTTCTAAATCAGCTGCTTAACAAATTAGTGAAGAATAACTAGCAAGAAATTGAAGGGAATGTAATAGTCTTATATATGAGAAAATAAAAGACACTAAATATATGGATTTTCCGAGCAGCAACTTATATGACCAAATCAGTCTTCCTTTTCTTAGTTTTCTATTAATCTGCTGAGGAGTCAGTCACGAAGTTCAGATTTAAGGAGGTGCTGGGTTAACACATTTGTTGTCCCCTTATTTCATCATCTTTTCAACAAGCACCCTCCAGTTCATATGAAACTTTTTAGCAAACTCTAATTTCATTATTTTATAAAACATTCCCAGTAATTTTTGTAAGGCTCACTCACTGGAGAAATGACTTCTGGAGGACAAGCCATTGATGGACACTTCCTTATAAAGGATTGCCCAAATTATCCGGTAGGAAGAGGATGCCATTTGAAATTAACTGCAAAATAAACTCCTTCTATGGATCTGAGAGGACATATGGTCAATACCACCCTGTGACAACTTCGATTTACATGAAACTTCTCTGCTCCACAGCTCACGCCCTCACCAGAATGACTCCTGTGCAGGATTCACCATTTTCTATGACTGTGGACCAAAAGAACTCTGCCAAAGTAATTTTTAGCCTTGGAATAAAGAATATCTAAAGAGAGACAGTGCTTTCCCTYCTGTTCCCTGCTCCTTTCTAAGCCACCACCTTCCTCTCTCTGATGCCAAAGCAACACATTGTACTGTGGTACAGCACGGCATTTTTTTCCTGTATTTTGGGTTGTGGGGTTTTTTTTTTGTAGTCCACAAGACAGCCTAATGAAGAGCGKCCCACATGAAAGAAAACCCAAAAGACTAAAATAATGAGTCTAGCTCAGAAGGACAAGAAACATTTTTACACATCATAGCCAGCTTGCTAACCTTTGTGCARTGCCCTAAGTTGTGATATATGATTTATTAATCTGTTTTTCTACTCATTTGCATTTCATATTACAGGAAAATTTTCTAGAAACTGACAAAACACTAATTTATTTCGTAACGGATTTGCCAAAGACTTAATAAGCTCTTATTTTGCACAGAAAGACAAACATTGTGTCATTAAAYAACATTGCTGGTGGAAGAGAAAACGCTTCAAACTCGCAGCCCYAAGACAGACGCACACATCTTAAAAGACTCCGTCTTGAACCCAGCTCTCCTCTTATCCTGCACCAAACTGCAGGCAGAATCACGCTAGCCGAAAAGCATTTTTAACAAGCTTTGAAGGCCTGGAAATACTCGGCAATAGTAAATTTGAAAAATATTTCATGCTTTACACGCAGCATCTGCGAGCGCCTGAGCCACAGTCCCGGGAAGGCTCAGTGTCAGACCGCCCTCTCACGGCAGCGCCGGGCCAGGAGCGGAGCCCACAGTCCCAGGGGATATCAGAGATACCACAGGCCATCTCCTACATTGAACCCATGTAGGCATCAGCATATGCAACCCTGACCTTCCGCACTGCAAGCTGGAAGCGGTTTTTATGCTCCGGCTTCTCTGCCAAAATGACAAAAGCATCGCTTCCTCATCGTCTGCACATCGTGCCCGAGTTTTGCCTCGCTTTGTCCTTGCACTCAGTAGAATGTGGTGCTGGGACTGGGTTCTCTATCAGTCCTGCCATACTCTGGGGTCTTGCAAATTCTGGCCTCACCGAAGTGCTGTGATAAACATCTTAATGGTTTTGTGTCTATCGTGGTTTGAAACAGCCCTCTAGGGCACTGGAACAGAAGAGTGCAGAGCAATGTCTTACCTGCTCTCATCTACCCTCCTTCTCTTCCATTCCCTGGTCATATTTATCCATATCCATAKCATACCCTTATCCTGGTCATAATCTATCGWGGRGAACTAATACAGRATTAATTCTGTTAGTCTTAGACAAAGGAAGAGAAAATAGCACTGCTGGACCAGTATAAAAGAGATTGCAGTTTGGAGCAGAATCTGTATCTTCCGCTGCATGTTAAAGAATATCATGGCTTTCAGGCATTCCCGAAAAAAGCTACACAAATTCAATCAGTTTTCCTCCATAATGGGATTTAAGTCTCAGTAACAGAGAGATATGTCACATATTTGTTTTGTTGCTTGTTGAATAGAAAGCATGTTATACAGAGGATAAAACGTCACACAGAGAACAAAATGTTACACTGAGGATTGGACAGCAGCAGTAGCTGCAACTCCAAGAGAGGAATAGAAATACACCAAATTTTTCATAAAGACATCAAGCAGTCAGTTCTTCTGGGACAAAAGGTAGTACAAAACTGGGTTCAGGATATCACAATTGATGCCTGAGTGAGGTAGGAATTACTATAATCATCTCACACTTAACATACAATCTCACACTTAACATACAATACCTTTTCTGAAATGCTGCACCATGCTTGAGTTGCTTGCCATTTTGAAGGTTCACACTTACATGGAAGCTAAACTGGCAGCACCTAGCCCATAAATGAAAGCATGTCCCTATGAACCCTCCAACAGTCAGACACTATACTCCAAGGGAAATCCATCAATTTATTTTGTTTCTGCAAAGGGGATTTGCTGGCAACTATACAGACAGAACCCCAAAGTATTTCCATCCCTGCTGCAGGTGGATGAGCATTGAGAGAGTGTCAACAGTACTTAGAAGTAAGATGATTTGGGTATTAATTTTTTAATAAGAAGGATTTCTTTTACATTGCCATTGCAAAGGAAGGGAAGGGAAGGG